CACAGGCACGACTCGCCTCATCAGATGAGCTGCCTGTCTGCCAGCGCGAAAAGCAGCAAGTGGAGTTTTCGTTTTTGTGTTCGGCGCTGCCCGCCGCCTTTGGTCACCGCCCGGCTCCTCCAGGCCCAGACTAGACGGGGGAGGGGGGGCGGTGCCAGCAGCGTTGTCGGGCAGTGTTGCTTCCGCTAAAAATGACCCCTGACTGACGTTGCGTCTGGACTGGGCGAATTCCAGACACTCGACAGGGAACCGTAGCCGGGAGTGTGGGGACGAGTAACCACACGTCCCTCAGGAGGCCCCTGAGGGGCACCCGGGGAGACGATGTGCCGGGAGCTGCCCTGGACGCGCTGCTGGAAGGGCGCCGTTTGCTCGTACGGGGGCCTGACAGACCTGCTGGGCCAGCTTTCATTTCTGTAGCCTTCTGAGCAAACTGGTGCCAAATGAAGCCTGTCACGGGCTTTTTGTGTATGAATATTTGGTTGAACCTAAGAAGATCCTCTTGTGTACACTGCAGACGTCGAACAGAAATCTCTCATTGAACTAGGTGGATGCGAGAATAAAGGTTCTCTTATGACCCTCCCCACTTTTCATAATCCATCGAACTTAAAAGCCAAACTCGAGGTCAACTCGGGATTTGTCTGTCCCTCAAGGGAACAGCCCAGACCGCATCAGAGGCGGCTTTCCCTTTATGAGGCTGCTTTGTACGAGTGTATACTCCTCAGTTAGAAGACAGGCGCAGGCCCCGTTCTAAGAGGGCAGTACCGTGGGTCAGAGCAGGACATTCATTAAATAAACTCCTTGGCCCTTACCAAAGTAATTAACCCCTCCTATTTTTTCCCCCCAATAATGCCCAGGCAAGAGTCCAAAATAGGTTGCATCATGAGTGCCCCATGAATGCAAAAAATCCAAAAGCCCCAAACCAACAGCAAAGACATGAAAGTACAAAAGTGGCGCTCCTAAATTCCAGATTCCTCCCCGGTCTCAACCAGAGAGAACGCAACCAGACGCTGACAGCACTTTATAATTATGTACTGATACGGTAAATCCTATACGTGTCCTTTAGCCCTCAAAATTCTATGAGGTCGGGTGGCTTTTTTTTTTCTTTTTCCTTGTAATTATGCTTATTTTAAAAAGTGAGTGAGAGACGTCATTTTTACGAAGTCCACAGCTAGTCCACAGTCTATAAATACTGGGTAAAATTTTTGGCAACGAGCAGTTAAATTGAGAGCTTTCAGGGTCTTGTAGGATAACAGCCGCTTTCCAAATCAGATTTTTTTTCTCTCTTTCATAAAAGAAGGAACATATCCACAAGAAGAGGCCGTTATAATCACTCACAGCCCGTGTTGGTAACATGTTTAGAAGACAGAATACTAAAAGCTTCGGTTTACACGTATGTGGGGAGAGGCATCTCCGACTAGCAGGCATCCCTGGGTGCACGAGAACAGGCAAGCGGGCGCTGCGCAGGGAGAGCATAATGGGGCCCTAGGGTCCATTCCCAGAAGTAGCAGGTCTCACCTGAGTGGGGAAATGCCAAGAATCGGACTCCTGGGACGTCAGAAGAGGTTGAGAAAGCGCACAGGATCAGGAGCCTGGGAAGGTACCACATCTAGGAGAAGGGAGTGTCCCTTTGTAAACAGGAAAAAAATTAGGAAAACAGCTCTATAAAAGACCCAGCAGCCACACTTGTGGATGTTCATCCCAGAGAGATAGAAATTGATGTTATACAACCCCTACCTAATGTTCATGACAGCCACAGATCGGAAAGGGCCTAAATGCCCCAAGCAGACGGTTGAATAAACTGGTAGGCCCACTGAAGGAAACACGATCAACAATAAAAAAGAAGGAACTGTTGACTGGATTCAGATCGGTCTCAAAGGCGTTACGCTGAATGAAAAAAGTCAGTCTCAAAAGGTCACATCCTGTATGATTCCATTTACGTAGCACTGAAGTGACAAGTTACAGAG